AGAAGCTGGGTAACAGGAACTGGGGCTTCGACGCCGTATCGCCGTATCTCCGCAAGTTCCACACCTTCAACCCGCCCTGCAAACAGGTCCAGGAGCTGTCCATCCACTACTTCGACCCGGCCAGCTAGGGCACCAGCGGCCCCGTCCACGTCTCCTTTGGCGGCCAGGCCGGCTGGTATACGCCCTTCAACAAGGCGTGGCCCAAGGCCTTTGAGGTCCTGAATCAACCGAGTATCGGCGACCCCCTTTCGGGCGAGTCCTCGGGCCCGTTCCAGAATCCCGGCACGATCCATGGGCAGACCCGCCAGCGAAGCCACGCCGGCGTCGCATATTACAACGACGAGGTGGCCAAGCGCCCGAACCTCCGGGTAGTCACGGAGGTGATGGTGGAGAAGGTCTTGTTCGAGAAGGGGGACGACAGCAGCATCACGGCCACCGGCGTGCTAGCCACCACCGCGGACGGGATCAAGCGGACCATCCCAGCCGCACGAGAAGTCATCCTGGCCGCGGGGGCCCTGAACACGCCCAAGATCCTGGAGCTCTCCGGGATCGGGGATGCGCGGCTCCTGCAGCCCTTGGGCATCGACGTGCTCGTCAACAACCCGAACGTGGGCGAGAACTTCCAGGACCACGGCTTTGTTGCCTTCTCCTGGGAGGTGGCCGGTCCGCAGTCCTCGAGCGACTGCGTTCGAGAGCCCGACGTGCGGGATGCGCTGATGCAGCTGTATCAGAACGGCGGCGCTGGCCCGTTGGGAGTGCAGAGTCTCGCATCGTCGTTCTTGCCTGTGCCGGACGTTGGAGAACTCGATGCCCTCTTGCACCGGTACCTCGACGACGACGAGAAGAGTTACAACAAGCAGTTTCCGGCCAAGCAACGACAGTACGAGCTCCTTCGGGAGCTGCTGCTCAAGCCAGGAGAGCCCTCGAGTCAGACGACCTTCGCGCCCTTCCAGATCAGCCCCCAGCGCGGCCCCAGTCTGAAGAAGATCTTCGGCATGCAGGAACCAGGCGAATACGTCTCGATTGCCACCGCCCTCAACTACCCCTTCTCCCGCGGATCCGTCCACATCCAGTCTGCCGACCCTCAGCAGAAGCCAGGGCTCGATCTGGGCCTCCTGTCGCACCCGTTAGACCTCGAGCTGCACGCGAGACAAGTCCTCTGGGCGGAGAAAATTGCGCAAACGGGCCCCTTCGCGGTTCTTCTCAAGAAGGACGGCAGGCGCCTGCATCTGCCGACGAGCACGAGCACGAGCACGAGCACGAGCACGCCGATCGACCTGGAGACAGCCAAGAAGCTCACGACAGAACGCATCCTGCCTCACTACCATGCCAGCGGGACCTGCGCGATGATGCCGCGGGAGTTGGGCGGGGTGGTCGACGACCGGCTGACTGTGTACGGGACGACCAACGTGCGGGTTGTCGACGCGAGTGTCTTCCCCCTGATCCCGAGGGGGAATATCCAGACGGACGTTTATGCGGTGGCGGAGGGGGCGGCGGATATCATAGCACAACAGTAATAAGCCGGCCTTTATATATAATCAACAGGACCTGAGTTATATTAGACTGCTAACCCTAGTATTAGTTAGTGTTGATGCTGCCTGTCTGTTTGTGGGGAAGAAACAAGCCCTAACTAAAAAGTTATATATCTGGGTGGATATTCTCTCTATAGATCATACATTTATTTATTTATGGAGAAGACATTGAAATAATACCGTTGTACGGGGTAGTAACGTGAGATTAGATTAGATTGATCAGATTAGATGAGATTAGATTAGATTAAGATTGCCTGTGCTAGGTACTAGTGATCTTTATAAAGCCTAGCATAATAGTTATTACACCACACGCACATGCACGAAGGCCAAAAAAAGGTAAAGGGATATATTTGTCAATTAGTACATCTGATAATGATTATTATGCCAATACCGTTCTCTCTCGTAATGATTGTTCCTTTTCAATTCCCTTTTTTTTTTGTGTCCTTCCCTCTCCATTACCCATTCCCAATCCCATTCCCATTAATATATCTTTCCTCTTTCCTTTCCTTCCTTTTTCAATTCCTTTTTTTTATTTAACCCCTTTAACCGCTCCTATTCCCGATTCCCGAAAAAGAAAATCCGTTCACACCGTGTTGCCTGAATCCAGCCTGAAAATTGATATTTCAAGAGAAAGTAAAATAAATCATCCTATAGCGTTCCCTCGTAACTCCAAATCTCCAAATCCTCCTAGGAGAAAGTCCGTTGTATTGTAAAGAAGTAGTACGCGCAGCGCAGCTCAGAATCGCTCGTTCCAATTCAGATTACAACAAGCCGCTGGTATCTCGTATACGTCGGACACTTGAGTTATACGGAATAGCGAATCCATAGTCTATCGTGAGGAGCGAGTTTTAGCTTCAGTATACGCTCGATAGACCGACTCATGCCCAGCGCAAATGCAATCAATTGATTAGACCTGTGCCATTCCCGGTCGCCGGATGTTGGGCCGCGACGGTCGCAGATTCGTGCTGGATCGCGCATTGATAATCGACAGGATCAGGGACGCCGTGTAGGCGGCCCATGCGAACCACAGAAAGGCGTCGGTGGCCTGGGCCTCGCGGCAGCGCTTTTCGCGGTGGTGGAGGGATCCGTTGGTGACCTCGTTGTGGGCCAGGTAGTTCTGTTTCGAGTAGTTGTCAGCAAAAACCAATTCTAAACAGAAGAGTGTGTGAGTGACGGCAAGTGCGTACGTTGTTGGTGCAGCTGTGTGCCTGGAGTCTCGCGGCCAACGCAATGCCCGAAGTTAGGAAGAAGATGGCGTTGAGAAGGTCGACTATAATCACTATGATCGGATGGCCGGCCAGGCCGTCGTTCCAGGTCGCCGGGATCAGATAGAAAAGCGAGACCATGGAGAAGGCGGCGCAGAACATGGCATAGTTGATGGTCGCCGGGTTGCCCGCAAAGGCCTGGGCAATGATGTTGCCGACGAGCGCCATCACAATGACGGTGAACACGAACTGTCCGAGTCAGTTGTCACTTTCTGACGCCGTCAGATCAGGCATTCCTACCTCCAGCCCCCGGAGGGGCAGACCAACTATTCTCATCGCCATGTTGTAGTCGCAGCTATCAAAGCTATCAATCAGGTCGAAAAATCCACAACGCGCAGATGACTCCCAAGACAGAAGCAGAAGAAGCGGACAGATTAAGATTAAGTATCGCAACGGAAGCACCGGAGAGATTCTGACCAGCAGAGGGTGGTGTGCTCAACGGTCGCCAGGGCAGCGCGGAGAATTTATGCGGGCGGGAGGTCACGGAGGTGGATGACGAAATGCCCGGATGTCTCCTACGTCATGGGGGAGTAGCAGAAAAGGCGTGCACGCAGAAGAAAAAATAAAAGAAAAAAGAAATTGAAATTGAAATTGAAGATAGCTCCAGATATATATCTGCTGCGCGATAATTAAAGGATAACCAGAAGAGAAAGAACAGACCTGGTTTTCCTATCCTGCTGCCTTGCATTGTTGCTCTCGCGATGCCAATCACCGCCGCCCGCGCTACGTCAGCAGCCGCCCAGCAGCAGCAGAGCGCCAGTCAAGCATTGCACTCGATGGCCTGCAGCCATCCTTTCCGCCCTGATCCGATACGAATCCTGTCTCATGATGCCGAATCCGGGGCTGGTTGGCAGTCGCTGACGATATGACATGAGGCCACTCGATCTCGACTAAGCCGCTTTCTCGAATTAAGAGCAACTGTCTTCCAATCGTGAGATCCTGTCTGGGGGTATCTGAGATTGGCGTAAGACGATTCTATAACTTAATTTTGTGGTGTATCATCTATCTGTCCTGCATTACTACCATTGACAGAAAAGTCATAATCCAAGCGAATATGAATGGATAATAAGGAGAGCCCTAAGTTGCAGTTCTGCTAGACTTGAATGCTCTTGTTGCATCCAATGCGATATCCACTGGCTGACTCTGTCTTCTTTTTTTATTTCGACAATGCAGTCACATATGGGCGATGTTAACAGTTCTACTTGCTCAGAATTCAATTGAGCATAGCTGCAAGCCTATCACATAGGCGCAAGGATATATAACGGGCTGACAGCCCTCCCGCCACCGCTTTAGTTTTTTTTCTTAACACGCACTTCTCTCTCTCAATTCAACTCGTTAGCTGATCTCGTCAGGGATATTTCTGTTGATTAAATGGTAAGTTCATCCTAGTAAAGTCCAGGATTGATCGCCATCCAGAATGGGAGAAGATGGTGGTGAGACTGCATGTCAGCGTGAGATTCCCTCTGTCGGGCACCGTATTGGGTCTAGCGTGATACTGATTTTTGTCCATATTAGTGCGGTGCAGTATAAATGCCGCGGAGTTGAATTGCCCACTAATACTTCGAATCCAGGCGGAGAGCCAAATATAATCTGTACACAAATCATGTGATTTAGAGCAGAGACACCAGTCTGCGGGGTGCGCTAATCACCGACAGGAAAAGGCACCCTCTGATTGGCTCCGCGGAGACGGCCTGCGCGGTTGCATCGCCCGGGGCTGAGTCAAGCCGCCATCGCAATATAGATAGATGACAGGCCTTGAGCTGCCTGGATTGAAGTTTTCTCTTTCTCTCCTTTCTCAGAGAAAAATCGTGCTTGCTGGTTCTTGCTTGTCTAGCCGCTCTTTGGGCGACTCCTCTTCGGTTCCTTCCAATTGCATGTGTTTCAGCTCGCTGTACAACTCCTGGATAGAAGCAGACCAAGGCTGAGACGAGTGTCTGAAGAGCGCAGAGTTCTTCGCGAAGAACTTGTGTGCTCAATTGACTGACTTGTTGACACTTCTTGACCAAGATCGCTTCCTGTTAAGGATACATCGTCAGCCATTCACTCGTTTCGTTCTCTGATACCCTAGACAGAATATTACTATGGCGAATTCGCAACCTCTCTTCAATACCATGGACTCGTCTTTCCAGTCATACGCCGACGAATGGGTCGACTTTGACGCCTTTATCAATTTCCATGCTGATGACTACAGTCAGACGGATTTGATGGGAAATTTTTTCCCACAGGATAATCAGAGTCTACCTGCTGAATGCCTGGACCTGCCAGATATGCAGCTCTGCGGGCCAGCGTTTGAGTCTCCAGTTCAGACCACCCCGACGGATGATTCGTTACTGGACTCCAATCCGGTACTTTCTCCTACACAGAGCTCACAAAGTACCTTGGATTACCGGATAGCAGAGGGACCCTCCTTCCAGAATATGGAATTCACACCTCTTACCACCTTTGCTGATATTTCGAATGAGTGCTTCTCGCAGGAGACCTCTGCTGCCATCCGAAATCTTGTCTACTCCAGGGCAACTGCAGATCCTCGCTCTACCTCCATGAAGGAAAAGCGGAGAGATGCCGCGATTGCCCTGCACCTGCAGCGCCTTAATGAGGCCTACCTACATGATACGGGCCTGGTTGCTGATCCAGAGCCGGAGAACCTTTCTCCTGGCAGCAACTTCTATCCTGGAAGCGTTTCCCCGCAGTCATTGCAGGGCAGTTATCCCGGACTGTCCGGGACGGCCAGCACACAGTCTCCTTCCACACCCGCATCTGCGTCTTCAAAAGAAGAACAACAAGCATCTCAATATCCTTCTGGGGGCGTGGAGATGGTTCTCGACTTGAATATGAATGCCGCGACTCGGTTGCCTAAGAAGCAGAAGCCACGAACGAAGGCCCAGATTGAGAGCTATATCAATGTGCGCAGGAATGGTGCTTGTGAAAAGCATCGAAGACAGCACAAAAAGGTGAGTCTCATCCCTTGAGAAGAGATGCAGACAATTTGCTCTGCACGTAGTGGCTTTGGGCAGCCAGCTGATTAGTCCAGTGCAATTGTCTCGACAAGCTTGCTACCGGCGTCGCTCCTAAGGCTAAGGTTCGAAAACCATTCGGCCTTTCTCGCACGGCACAGGGCCAACCAGTGAAGTCTGTCCAGCAAGGGGAATTCGTTCCAACCGTGGCTGATACCAGCAAGATGTTCAGACTACCGTCTCCCCTGTACACTGGCTCCATGCTGGGTCGTACCTATTCGAGTCAGGCTGCATCTGCACAGTCGATGTCTTCTGGCCTATCTGGCGATACAGTACGACCACAGCCAAACTCTCACGTGAAAGAGCGTTTGTCGACGCGGTCCAGCCCAACTGCGAGCTCAGTTTTCTCGCAACCAGAAAGGCCATTCGCATACGCTGGTATTTCGCCAGTGCCAGGAAACTCGAACCTGGCTCGTGCTACACCAGCCTCCTCTGTTCATGAGTCTGGCGTTGTACCCATTCAACAAGCACGCCGACAATCGGAAAGCGTGGCGAAGGAACGGCGCAAGAGACAATGGGAAAGCAACTTACTATTCTCCCTCTCCGGCTCTGGCTTGCGCCATGCGGTGGAGACTGTGCCAGAAGGCAAGCAAAACCTCACAAACGCGGTCTCTCCGCAGGTCCTTGCAGGTGTATTCCTATCCGTCGTCGCAAGCGCTGTGTTGCGCTATCTGCAATTCGCAATGGCTGTCGCGTCTTGGTTACAGACGTACTCTAGTGTCGTCGTTGCGACTGCTCTTCACGGGTATAATATTGGCTTGACGGGATTGAATATGGCGTCAGCCGAAAGGTTGGTTTCGTAAAGCCACCACCGTCTAAATTAGATATCTGGCCGGCTACATGTTTGATAGTTTAGGGTTAGTGTTAGTTTTTAATAATGCGGGCTGAGATCCTGCTTGGATAAATAGATAATGAGATAGATATTTATCTAATCAGTTGCACAGTTGCACAGTTGCACTATGGATGTGCTGAACATGCTTTACTTAAAGGAGTAGGTGTAGTAATTTGCTGCAGTGGTTAGAAGGTAGTGTCTTATCAAGTGAAGAGCACGCAATTTTTTTTAAAAAAATAATAATAATTTCATTTTTATTTTTTAAAGATAATAATAATAATAAAAAATGCTCAGAATATAATTGTTATAAGACAGGCGGTGGCCATACATCAGCTGCAAACAGCCATGACGGCATCGAGTTAACTTTAGGTAATTGAGTTCAGTGGACCATGGACAGGCTACCTGCTGCGAATCTTAATTAATCACATGTGTGTATAGACACAGAGACTTTTAGATGCTGCATTCGTATTGATCTATTTTTTTTTGCCCTGTGTCAGGTTCATGCTTTTATTGAATAAATCCATAGCAATAACAAATACTATTAGCTGGGATAGGGATACCTGTAATGCCCCGCCTTCTGGGTCTGGGTCTGGATCCAGTTCTGGCACGATGATCCCGCTACAACGCCCTGCGCGGTCCCACCTCTATCACTACTACGACCAAGAGGATGGATATTACCCCCACGGCCAGAATCAGAACTGCACTCGCCAGTCACAATCGCCTTTCTGGCAGGCTTGTCAGATTGTTGTGGTGATGTAAGTTTCCGTTTCCTGTTTTAATTAGTGCTGTGATTGTGGGTCTGTAGAACCATACATTTGCAATGTTTATGTACAGTACTGTATGTACATGTCAACAGTGGCCTGTCTAACCTGACTGCTCTTCTCAATTGAGTGCAGACCATGCCTTCTTTTCGTCACCATTCTACTCGCCGGGTTCATCGTCATGGCTGAGTCGACTCCGACTTTGACCTCCTCCTCGACGTCGTCTTCGTCCTCGTCGTCCTATCTCAGATACTCCACTGTCACGGGGTATTTCCTGCAAGACGAGCCGGACACGGATCCAAGTACCTTCGATTATGTGAGTTTATTTCTACAACTATAACTTTGTTGTTCAGCAATTGCTAATGTTTTTCCTTTTCTAGGCGGCCACCAACTTCGGGCTCATCAATCGCACATACGATACAGACGCAGAGTTCGACCCCCACGGCGAAAAAACGCAATGGGAGCGTTTCGAGTACAAAGTCCGCTCGCTGAACCGCGAGGCGGACGACAAAACGCAGTACAAAGTCCTGTTTATGGGTCGTCATGGACAGGGATACCACAATGTGGCGGAGAGTTTCTATGGGACTGAAGCTTGGGATGTACGATACGCACCTTTCTTTCCTTTGCTTTTATTTAGTTTGTTGTCGTCTGTCTGACAGCAAACAGTGCTACTGGTCCCTCCAGGACGGAAACGACACAGTGACCTGGGTCGATGCCCGTCTGACGGACGTCGGCCAGGAACAGGCCAGAGTCGCTCACGCTACCTGGCGGAAGCAGATAGAGAACAAGATCCCGTTTCCGGAGTCGTTTTACGTCAGTCCGTTGAATAGATGTCTGCAGACGGCGAGTATTACGTTTGAGGGGCTCGATGTGCCTGTCGTCAAGCCTTTTCGTCCGGTTGTTAAGGAGGTTAGTCCACAGAAAAACTTATCCTGTTCGAGAAACGTACTGATTGCTGCAAGCTCCTCCGCGAAACCCTCGGAATCCACACCTGCGACCGCCGCTCCACCAAATCCTCCATCCAAGCCGAATACCCTCTGTACCGCATCGAAGCCGGCTTCGCCGAAACAGACCCCCTCTGGGACCCTTACCTACGCGAGTCCGACTCGGCGCGCGCCGCCCGTCTCCGCCGGTTCCTCGACGACGTCTTTTCGAACGACCCCGCCGTGTTTGTCTCGTTCACGGCGCATTCTGGTGCGATCACTAGCATTCTGGATGTTGTGGGTCATCGGCCGTTTGCCCTCGCGACGGGCGCGGTTATCCCTGTGCTTGTTAGGGCGGAGCGTGTTGTGGGTGAGGAGGAGCCGCCGATGAGGATTGATCCGCCGGAGCCGGCGCCGAGGTGTGATGTTGATCCTGCTCCTCCTGATCCTCCTGCTGGGGCGGCTGCTGCTGCTGGTAGTGGTACTGGTAGTGGTAGTATTGATGATTTTCGCGCGGTTGGGATTGCTGCGAAGGGGTAGTAGCTTTGTAGATTGATAGGTGGATTACTGGCTGGTTTCCTTACTGACTGACTGACTGACGAGACAATACCCAACTGCAGTTCAAATGGATTGTTTATGAAGAATTGTCTGAGGATTAATTGATTATTGATTACTACCTACATACGTACAGTACTAGCTGTTACTGATCAATTGTTGGTCTGTCTAGCTGCATACCCAGATTCGATCCATTCCTTGTTCATATTCACTCCATAATCAACTAACCTATGACCTCGCATCCCATATCCCATATACCTACCTACTTACCTACCTACCTCATATCCACCATCACTCCTGCTGCACTGGACATAACATTCACTCCCTGATTAAGAACGAGCTGCGAGCTGTCCCATACGTCGTGTGCAATGCAGTCAGAGGCAGCACCCTCACGAAAACTCAAACGGCAGCTGCAAATCCCCCAGAATGTCCAGTATCGCCTGCTCGTACTGTAGCTGTTTCCGCTGCTGGAAGAACTCGATGGGGTTGTCGAATGGAATGGATTGTCCGTCTGGGAGTTGGTCTTCCTCGAACTGTTTCATTGTTATATCCATTGTGTCAGGGCTGGCGATGCGGGTGGGTTTCTTGTTCTTGTTGTTTTCGTTGTTGTTGGCTTTCGTAGTGAGTGGCTGAGAGTTGGTAGATGCGGTAGATGTAGGACCAGGGAGAAGAGAGGGTCCGGGTCTGGGTTCTGGTCTAGCTGGTTCGCTGACTCGAGTGCTGTGGTTGACGGAAGAACGATTATCATCATGGTCATGACCCTCAGACTCGTTCAGAATCGAGCTGATGGCCATAACATTTCTGGTTTCCTTCTTTGGAGCAGAAGGGGCAGCGGACTGTGCTTTTTGTGCTGAAGCAGAGGACCTCACCGGTGCAGACGCAGATCTGAGCGTCCTTCTGCGGTCGTTCGTCCTGTTGATGCGTGTAGGAGGTTGAGATTGTGGTTGAGATCGAGTCTGATTCTGAGTCTGAGGTCCAGACTGAGTCCGAAGTCCAGACTGAGAGCGAGTCCCAGGACCATTGTCGTCCGCGAAATGGACTCTTTTGACTATCTTTTTCGGCTTGCCCTGCTGCTGCTGCTGCGACTGTGGCAGCTGCAGCCGTTTGTTCTTTTTCAGGTCGTTTCCCGCAAGAGCAGTCGTAATAGTCGTAGCAGTTGTAGCAGGACGGGGAGGGGGAGAGGCATTGTTTTCTTTGGCGGAGCCATGGTGCTGTTGACTTGTCCTTGTCCTTCTGGCAAGAAGAGAAGAAGAGACAGCGAGGGATCTGTTGGACTACGAGTACGAATATCAGCGAACAAGATCCTTCTGGTGTGAGCCACAATTTGTAATTGTTGGATGGAACGAACCTTCGACCAGTTTCGAGGAAAGATTTAGACGGTACGATCTCTGTCTTGTCTTCAGTTCAGACAAGACAAGGACGTTTGAATGTAGACGATAAAACTACTACAGGGAGAAGAATATGAAGAAGAATAAGAATAAGAAGAAGTCGAGGCTTCAACAAGACATCAAGAAAGAGGACATCGAACCCCGTCCCTAGGTACTGTGCCGTGCCTAGGCAGGTAAGTAGGTAAGTTATGTAGACAGACAGATTCCGTATATCGCAAGAGACCTAGGTAGGTCCCTAGTTAGGGTCCTCAGGTCCTAACACAGGACAACAATGGCACGTGATACCTCCCAGAGACGGTGACGAAAAGACAGCAATGAGTGAATGTGTCGACACAATCAAACTGTGTCAGTAGTCACGCAGCTACCTCCCTCGGCAGGCCCATGGCTGATGTCATATTTGTCACGCAGCAACAAGACAAAGAGTGCATGATTGGTCCATACAGATGGGGATAACAACCTGTTGCACGTAAGAGGTGGATATATGAGTGAATAGAGGTGACTTGAGCTCTATCTCATTGTGATCGTGATCATGATCGTGATCGTGGTTGTGATTGTATTGTAAATATTTGTATGTGTCTATATAGCTAGACAATAGCTTTTTTCTCTCTCTTTCTTCTCCGTCTAGTAAGCTTCAGCTTTAGCTATTTATTTCAATAGAGATATAAAGAAAGAGATATTGCTGTCTGTCGTGCGTCGTGCGTCATGCGTCATGTGTTATGTGTCATATGGCTGTTTGATGGTGACCAGGACTTCCTAAATTGGAAAGCAATTGGCGCTACCTAGGTACTTACCTCCCTTCTCTTGGAAGAGTCCGGTCTTGACTCATATATTCCTTGCCTCAGGCTTAAATAGGTATGATATATCCGGAAAATACCTATCTGTCGAGTCTACTTCAATTGCTCCATTATAGACGAACAATTTATCTGCAGTAATAGACTTGAACTTGGTACTAAATAGCTAGCAAGTAAGAGAAGATTTCAGCTAATATTGTCCAGCTTCCTATTATTATATAGGTAGGACAGTTAGTTACTTTGTTTACCTGTATTTCAAATTCGTGGACGACGTTCATCTCGAGGTGTTTGTTGATCAACAATGGTTTTGTAATGCAATGGATTTATATACTGCTGTAGGGATTAGTTCGTATTGCTAGGAATTGTTATAATAATAGATACATACCTAGGGGATTTGAATTTGAATCTGATGATAGCCAGTGTGCATACTTAGTGCACCTAGTCACGGTGCACTACTTAAATCAAATTGACAGGGTTTATGTTTCGATCTTTGGCTTGGAAGAGTGGCCAACTTACATATGCACCTGGTTACTATAGGTAAATTTAGACTTGCAACTATCATTGCAACTATAGTACAGTTCGACGACTCCCTCCTTACTCTATCAACACATAGAAAAGAAATGAAGTTGCAAGGTCAGACGAGGTGTCGTGGTCCAAAACTGGAGAAGACGAAAGACGCTAAATATACATCACAAACGCCAGATGAAAGCCCAAATTCACCAAAGTAGGCTGTAGAAAATACGCATCCGTTGTGGCACCTACCAACTGTAATATTGGTTTTGGCCATAAATCTTCCGGTCCGGCAGCTGTGTCCACAACTGGGCCTTGCGCTTATGCTGTTCCTTGGCCTCGCGCTCCTGCCATTCCCGAATGCGCGTCTTCTCCTCCTTCAGCAAGACGGACAAACTGGTGTACGGCGGACGGAGGATGTTGATCTGTCCCCTCGCCCGGTAGTCGTAGTCGACATCGTATGGACCACGGTTGACCCACGCCTGAGCAATGTAGATGGACGTCGGGTCCGTAATCTCCTTACGCTCGCCCGATTTGAGGGTGACGGTGATGGGCTTGGGGAGCGACTTGGCCTCCCCTGTCACATGGCCCAGACCCATGCCGTGACGGACAATCGCCACGTTCTTCGCGTGCTTCAAATGCTCCATCACATCCTTGGCAACCTTCTTCTTGCTAAACTGCATCTGCAGAATGGCTTCGTCGATGTTCTTGCCCGCGATCTGGCGCGCCAGAGGACCCAGCTTCTTGACCGACGTCTTGAACCAGTGGGATTTCACCAGCGCCTCGCGCTCCGTCCGCATTAGCACCTCCTTCTTCGTAAGACGCCCGCGTTTCCGGATCGCGCGGATCACCATCTTGCGCTCCCATCGGATCCGTGCTTTTGGTCGCGGGTCGAGCACCATGCTCATGCGGTTTCGGTCCCGGTCCTCGAGTCTCTCGGCCGCCGGCTGCTCAGCTTCCAGGGCGGCCTGCACACGCGCAGGCGTACGTCCCGATGGGGAGAGCTTGGGCGTTGCCTCATCCTCTGCGAAGATGGAGTCCGAACTCAGCCTACCCTCTCGCTGCGGCGGTGCAGCGGGTGTTCGTGCGACTTTTGGTTTTTCGGCCTTCTTCCCTCCACCGAAGAAGAAGTTTTTGATCGAAGACAAAGCAGATGGACGCGAATTCGACTCTTGCTTGTCATTTCCACTAGGGTTGCCCTCATCCTGGGCTCGGAGACTGCGACTATAGGTGATGGTGCGACGGGACACCACGGAAGGTGCTGGGCGGGCTGGCACGGTCAGCATGGACCTGAAGAAAAGGGGCGAAGCAACTTACTGGCCCAGGCCAGGTGTCGAGATGGTAACAGAGCACCCCTGGTGGCCATGGTGAACCACAGGAGGCAGACAATGGACGGTGGGCGTCTCCTGGAGTTGTTGATACTGGGAAAAAGCTGTCAGGAAAAAGCGCCCTGTCTGGGCTCGGCAGGCGGTGAGTGCCGACAGCCCGTGACTGGGCAGGAACAAACGGTGCAAACAGCCTCTCCTTACATCGACTGGCATTCTGGATCAGGCCATCGTGAATCCCTCATTATTGATAACCAGTGATCGACCAGACTATTACGCGGTCTGTGTATTCTGGGCCTCGCAAATATCGGGCTAATGTGTAGGGTTCTTGCCTTCTTCCAGTCGCTAGCATACACACACTGTAATATACTGCATACTGTCCGTGCCCATCCATCCTCGACCTCGGCATGCCTCGCATGAGAGGCAGAAATGCATTCCATTGCGATGGGCGTGAATTCATCTATTTAAGACTATTACTCCGTAGACAGCACAGCGTGTTTCTCCTCGACTGTTCACTGTCAGCCACATCGTGGCGGCGTGCGTGGCCGTGTGGCTCGCCCACCAACCCTTGTTCTCGCCGGCAGTCCGGGGTGTTCCCGGAGCATCTCTTCTCCACCGGCGAAAACCGCTCTGCCGGGAGAACAGAAATGAATGATGAGACCACGTAGAGCAAGTCACGTGACTGACTCACCAGGTTGCAGTCACTCAGATCGGCATGGAGGAGACCGCAGGAATACTCCTCTACTCCAGAGTAAAGTACATAGAAGAAGAGTGTCAATGCAGACAAAGAAAAAAAATCCAGTGATCAGCCGCAGTGACACAGGCGACTTGTCATTCTGCTGCTGCCGCCTCGTTGGGTCCTCGCGTCTCGCGGCCACCGTTCCACAAGGCTGTTAGTTCGTAAATGACGCCAAAGGCTTGAAGCCAAGGACCCGGCCAGGCAGACCAGCAGGCCAGCGTCATCGTCTCCTGGTTATTAATTAATTAATTGCTCTGAGCGAGCTCGCCTGCTCTGGCTGCGCTCCACCTCTCTGCCCGCATCGCCGTCGCCGTGCGGCCTGCCGGGCCTCTCCTGCCGCGAACCAAGCTCTTAGCTCTCGCGCGCTCGCCTTTTTCTCCGTCACCATCCAGTCCACGGCGCAGTCCCAATCCCAAGACCAGACCCCGTTAGGATATCCACCTTGTCGATCCACCGGCCTCGCTCTCATCTCGTCTTCCTTCTCGTGTCACCCTCTGCCCTTCAATCCGCTCCTTCGTGCCCTGTCCGCTACGCCCTCCCTTCGTGTGGCCGCTTCTCTCTGGCCTGTCCCGTGAGCTGCTTCCCCTCTGGCTCTCTGCCGTCCGCTCTTCAGCCTTCGTCTTTCCCCCCTCTCTTGACGGCCCCAGGAAGAAGAAGAAGAAGAAGAACTCGCCAGGCGTGACCGCTATCTCCCTCCCTTCCTTGCCTTCCCTTCGCCATCCTTCTTGCGACTTCTCCCTGCTCGTCGAGCCCCGATCGACGGCCTGTCGCAGCTGGCCTTCCGTCTCTCGCGCGGGAACGCGCTTCTCTGGGGTCTGTCACCGGAACAGCTGGCAAGACGGTGACGCTGCACACGCTTTTTGCAGACAAGCATCGCCCGAGACGAGATAGAGGCATGGACGGGTTGATGAGGCACCTGGTGGACGACTCCTTTTGACTGCTCTGACGTCGAGGTCCGCTGCTGCTGCGTATCTTCCATTGTAACGGCCGTTCCTGTCCCAACGTGGCTTGCCTTCCGCCTCAACGCTCTCTTCCATCTACCCCTCCTCCCTCTCCCGCCGTACAGCTTTGTCTTAAAACATGGATATCAATTCGCTACTCTCACCGCAGCAGGAGTCTGCGGGCAACTCGAGGCAGTCAACTCCCTCGGCGCACACTCCCTCTTCCGCCTCCCCATCCGCGCCACCGTCCATTTCCCCCCATAAGAACATCCGGAGAGCTCGCTCGGGCTCTGCCAGACATGGTATGACTTCCTCTCCGCTTGCGCAACATGTCTTTGCGTCCTCCCGTCTCCCGGAACCGTCGCCACCCACGACGAGTCCCACAAATGGTACAAGCCTAGGGGGAGGAAACGGCACGCCGCCAGCAAACGACCTGCCGTCGTCCCGGCAGCCGTCAACCCACGGCATGGATACCCTCGCCGATTTAGCGTCGATGCAGCATCATCAGCCCCAGCGCTCCAATGCCCCGCTCCTGCGGAGCACCGAGTCGTACGAGAGCCAGCTCTCCCCATCCACCATGTATCCCCATGTCAATCCCATCTCCCAAAACTCATCCACGTCGCGTCCTTTCGAGATCGCCTTGCCCGAACACCGAGAACCTGTGAAGCGAGATTACTCCAATTCCTCCCTCTCCCCAGACGCCCAGGCTTCAGCCACGAAGCTGTTTGCCCACATCCAAGAGAATCCACATGCCTACGAGTCGCACGTTCAGTTCATCCAATTACTCCATGCTGGGTTTGTCAATCACGTCTATCCGCCGGATGCCCCGGACGCCCACGGTGACCCGCGAAAGTACGATTTGCTCCAGGATCTGAGAAGCGCGCGTGAGGAGATGGACCGGCTCTTTGCACTGGGCGAGGATCTCTGGGCGGACTGGATTCAAGATGAGAGCATGCTCGCGCAGACGGTCGAGGAAAGGATCGCCGTGATGGAGCTCTGTCGGAGGGCTGTCGAGGAAGAATACGGGAGTACGAAGCTCTGGACCATCTTTGGAGAGTGGATGCTCTACCTGTACAGTGCAGCCTCGGGCGAGTCCAGCCAGAGTCAATGGAGCGAGGAGGATCGTTTGGTCGGACGGGAAGTCTTCAGTTGGCAGTCGGTCCTGGATGTCTGGCAGCGAGGAGCAGAGGCGACCCGGTGGAGGATCAACGACAGCCACCGCGTGTGGAATCGATACCTCGAGCTGTCCATGCAGGATCTGGCCCGCGCGCCCTCCGCAGATCGAGTGGCCCAGGTTCGGGGCTTGTTCGAGAATCGCCTCCAGACACCGCATGCCGCCTGGGATGAGACGTTCCAGCTGTTTTCCGGCTTTGTCTCCACGTACTACAACGCCAACTACGAAGATATCATGGCCGATACAGTAGCCCGCGCATCCGAGGCCAAATCGAAATACAGCGCCCGGGAGGAGTTCGAGATGAGGCTTCAACGGGCCGCCGAAACGGGTGACCGCAATCTGGAATGGACCACCTTCTCCGAGTATATCGAATGGGAGTCTAGCCGTCACCCTCGGAAGCGGCTGTTCAGTCCTGATCTCGTCAATGCTGTCTACCAGAGGGCGATTCTCCGATTCCCGACCGATGTGAATCTGTGGGAAGACTATGTCACGTTCCTGATCGGTGACTCCACCCATCAGCTGGCCACTACGTCCATTTTACCGACGCTCGAACGAGCGACCCGGCATTGTCCCTGGTCGGGCTCCTTGTGGTCGCAGTATCTCCTGAGCGCGGAACGCGAAGGCTGGTCGTTTGACAAAATCGTGGAGCTCAAACACAAAGCCACCAGCACCGGACTCCTGGACGCGGGTGGCCTGGAAGAAGTGATCAAGGTTCACACGATGTGGTGCAGCTATCTCCGCCGGCGTGCCTTCATGCCCGACTCGACGGATGAGGATCTCGATGTGGCCGAAGTGGGCATCCGATCCGCGATCGAGAGCGTGCAAGAACTGGGAGAAAAGAAGTACGGCAAGTCGTACCAAGGCGACCCGCTGTTCCGCTTGGAGCGCATCTACATTCGGTACTTGAGTGAAAGTGGCAGCTGGGATAGCGCCCGGGAACATTTCAAGGGGCTGGTCCCGCGTCGGGGCAATAGCTACGAATTTTGGCTGGCCTATTACTTCTGGGAACTGGTTTCCTGGAGTAAGTTTGTCCAGGGCGAGCCTACTGCGCATGCCGCCAGGAGAACACCGAACCCCAGCTACGCAACTGCCGTGCTGAAACAGGCCATTAAGAGGACGGATCTGGACTGGCCGGAGAAGATCATGACCACCTACATTTCTCACTGCGAGGATTACGAAGATTCGGATGAGCTACAATTGGCCCTCATTGAGACGCGCAAGGCCATGAAAGCCATTGCGCGGAGACGCGAAAGGGAGGCCATGGAGGCCGCCGCCGCACAACAACAACAACAACAACAACAAGCCGCAGCGGCGGCGGAACCGGACACCCAACTACCTGAGAATGTCAATGCGGTGTCGAAACGGAAGCGTGAGGAGGAAACTGTGGACCTCAACGGAGTGCCTAGCAAGAAGGCTCGTCCTGAAGAACCTCCTCCGGAACAAGCCCCGCCCGCTCCGCCCAAGAGAGATCGGGAGAATGCGACCGTTTTCGTCAGGAACCTGCCCCAGGACATCAGTGAAGTGAGGATTCGACAGTTCTTCCGCGATGTAAGCAAATTCCATCTTCCTGTAGAATTTGGGGATGTCCGGCTGACTTTGCTTTGCAGTGTGGGACAATCAACAGTCTGAAACTGTTGCCTCCGGAGAATGACTCGCTGTCGGCGGTGGTCGAGTTTGACAACAAGGACGACGCTCTGGCGGCTCTGACCCGTGATCAGAAGGAGCTCGAAGGCCGCACCATTGAGGTGCAGCTTGGTAGCGGATCGACCTTGTTTGTTACCAACTTCCCTCCCACCGCAGACGAGGCCTATATTCGAAATCTTTTCCGTGAGGTATGCTGGATTCTGCCTGACGTCTTGTTGTATCTCCAGATGGATGCTGACTCCTCGCGACAGTTCGGTGAGGTCGTCGATGTGCGGTTTCCTTCGCTCAAATACAACACCCATCGTCGATTCTGCTACGTGCAATTCAAGTCGGCCAGCGAGGCACAGGCGGCGACTAAGCTGGACGGTACAACTGTGGGCGATGGTTTGCACTTGGTTGCCAAGATCTCCGACCCATCCAAGAAGCAAGAGCGCCATGGTCCGGTCCACGAGGGACGGGAAATTCACGTTTCGAACCTCGACTGGAAAGCTACTGAAAATGATCTCAAAGAACTTTTCTCCAAGTATGGCCGGGTCGAGGTGGCACGCATTCCCACGAAGGTTGACGGCGGCAGCAAAGGTTTTGGCTTTGTCGTGTTCTCCTCGAAGGTATGTCAACGATTATCAACAATTTATGAGCTATTTCTTTCTCCGAATTGTCCCCGCCCCCAACACAAACGCGCTCGTTTTCTCTTCCGTCCAGCTAATGGGATGTACAGGAGGAGGCCAATGCTGCGCTCGAAATGGACCAAAAGGAATTCCGTTCACGGCCACTGCATGTGAAACTGTCCACGCCCACTGGAGTTAAGCGCATGTCGACGACCATCGTATCTCGTGTTGCCAAATCTCCGTCTGTCGAACCCAATGGCACAACTGGCCAATCGTCGACACCTGAAGTTGAGCAAATAGAGGGGGACCGTGCGGCGCGGACCCTGGGGCTGATGAACATTCCCGACACCGTCAACGACGCCCGTATCCGATCCCTGGTCGAGCCTTATGGCAAGTTGATCAAAATCATCCTGCGGCCGGATCATCAAGGTGCCATTGTCGAGTTTGCCGATGTGCACGACGCTGGACGGGCCTCACTGGAGTTGGAAGGTCATGAGATTGCTCCTGGTCGCAAAATTCACGTGGGCAGCGTGAACGAGATGCTGAAGCAGAGTGCGGAACGCAAAGTGGATCGTATACAGATTGGCAAGCAGAAGGAGAAGAAGACGACGGTGATGCTTCAACCTGCCGGCCCAATCAAGCGACCGGCGCAGCCAGGCGCCCGTGGCAGCGGCCGGAGAGGCGGGCTTGGAGTGAAGCGTGGCGGGGGGCCCGCGACTACGCATCGAGAAGAACCGAAAGAGGCCCAGAGCACGGATGGTCCATCTGGCGCCCGGGCTGCCACTCCTGCTGAGGGAGAGAAGACGAAAAAGAGCAACGAGGATTTCCGCGCGATGATCCAGGGAAATGGGCAATAACGACTTTTGCATGGGAGTAGGTGCATTTCTCGGGGTTGGCGTTCGTTTTGTTTTTTTATGTTTCCAGATTTCTTGCCTTTTATTATTTTTTTTTCTCTCTCCATGGCTCTCTGAGCATATCTTCTCATATCATGACGACTGGGGTTTGGGATTGGATATCTTATTATCTCGTCGTCGATTGCTTTCTCTTGGCTTTATATCCCATGAAATGCACAAGGGGTGGTGTGTAGACTAGCTTCTATCTTTTTTTTTCTAACCTTGTCTTTCTGTCTTCTTTTTTTCTTTCCTGTGGTCCCTTCTTTTCCTTTGTCCCAAGAGGCGTGCAATGTGGATCGGAGAGGGTGGATGATTGATGAGATAGCATGAAATGAAAACCGAGTGATGGGGGACGGACTGGAATAGCCGTCCATGTGTCAATGTTCCATTAATGTCTCTATCTTTCTCTTCATTTCCCGATAAGGATGTGGCGATCTTCACGGAGGACTAGGGTGCATTGTAGTGAAAACCGCACTACTGTGATCAGCTGAAACGCGAGAATATATACTTGACCCGGTCAAGGCGCAGGTGCTCTCCGTCGATGGCTACATTAGTGGGTGTGCATGTCCAGGGTCGGATGCATGCTGCACAGCATTACTGTCATTCCTTCGATAGCTAGCAGGAATTTGAGGCTTGGCGTGCAGCTGTCGCGGGCAGACAGTGGGCCAGGCTAGCAGGAAGGAGGGGTGAAAAAAGTCAATTCACGAATTAGTCCTTGTATTCGGCAGAGAAGCTCACGAATCGAGCTATTCGGACGGTTGACTATGACCAGCCAGTGGTTCTAGACCTAGAGTTTGTTGAGGGGCAGATGTGGGACTTGTTCAATAAGAATGAATGACAGATTCAATCTTGTGAACAGCAGATGATGCCTTGTAGGTAGTGTAGGAATGTAAAGATAAGGAAGCTATGAGCCCCTCATTGTCTCTTGTGAATTGTGCGAATTGTCGAGTGTGATGCGCGATTTTTGGATACGAGTAATCCGGAGACGAAATTGCGATGGCCGATCGAGCGCATGAGCTGTTCCTACCCCTCCCTCACCCCTGCGCGTAACGAGCCCATTGTGTTTGGCTTTTCTCACCGACTTTACTACTCTGTCTGCACAAGGGCATTGTCTTGTTTTTTGTCTCTGTTAAAGCTTTTTCTTTTGCTTCCTGTTGCTGTGGCCCGTTTGTTGTTTTGATTTTGATTTTCGGTGACGTAGTCAAGCTGACCACATAGTGCTGTACGTACCCACCTTGTCAGCCTTGCTTCTCTCTGCAACTTACTTTCTTCTCACTTCATTTCCATAACTCTCGCCTTGTTGACCCTTGGCCATATCAAACAGTCTGAAGCGGCTGCTTTATCAGTCAACCCCGCCGTGATAACCCGTATCGTGACTACCGTCATCCGCCTCCCTTGCTTATCGCGGGCAAGTCTTAGTCCAGAAGCCTGATAGATATGCACTACTGAGGCAATTAAACTAACCAGCCACTAATTTCTGCAGGCCATCATCGGACGTGGGCTCGAGTGGAGTCGAGGAGCTCTGTTAGCTCGCTGCCGCCACATCCGCGATTCGTCCAGTCATTCCACTTAACACTGCCTGCTTCTGCTGTCCCTCCGGTCGCTGCGCCTATCGAATCTACAACGTCTATTCTGTTCTCTCTTACCCAGCCTCTTCTTCTCTACGGCGTCGACCAGCACGCAGACTGGTTGCCTGCCATCCTTCGCTTCTCGTTCAGGACAGAAGTGTCCCCTATCGCCGAGATGGACTTTGACCTGGTGCCGGGAGGCACTGGGAGGAACTACACCGGGATTCTCACCAAGACCATCGTCTACACTGGAACCCTCTTTCTCTTTCTGATCGGTGCGTTCTGTCGAGTTTGCTGTTCCCGTTGCTGCCTCGACATGCGTCATTGCAACTCGCCAAAACTGACCGGAGTGTCGTCTCTACACAGCTACTGCGCTCACTGTCGCATCCATCGCCATCCCAAGATGGGTCAGCTATCACAGTGAAAAGGTCAGCCACTCCAATGACGAGGTATACCGTGTTGAGGGCTTGCTAACCGTTATTCAGCCCGAGTTTCACTATTCCTACGGTCTCCATCGCCGCTGCTCGTCTCTGACCGACACGTGCGACCCGTTTCCGCAATATGAGGACTGCCATGGCGAAGATCGATACTTCTGCTCCATGTGGCGCAGCGTCGGCTTCCTGATGTCCTTTGCCGTCGTTTTGGAGGGCATTGCCATTGTCGCCTACATTGTCATCCTGTCTGGAGGGAAACAACTGCGAGAGTCTGGATGGGGGATCCTGAGCCTGATCATCATGCTATCGGCTGCAGTGCAAGCAGCAAGCACGGCGCTAGTGGTAGGCCGAGGCAATCTGACTGTCTGTCACGTTGTTCCAGCACTAATCTCTCTCGCTCACCGCCCAGGCATACCTTTTCGACAACGACGAACGCTTCTTCGTGGGATGGAACCTCGACCAATCCTGGTTCTTCTGCACCGTCAGCTGGTGCATTTCGCTGTTCTGCGCCGCGGCGGTAGTAGCTGCAGCCCGCGTCCTTCCGTCGGAAGGCGGTTACGAACTCATACCTGATCCTTCATAATACGATCCTTCATAATACCGATCCTTCATGACTCGATATCGCCAGAGAATGTGACGATGAATTCAAAGTAACGACCGGTGGTTTTTGCGGGACGATCGATCTCTTTTTTTTAATACGTAGCAGCTGGGACTCTAGGACTTGCTGTAAAGCCATTCATTGGCCTTTGAGCAACAACTGCTGCTCTTCTGCTCTTTATACAGCATTCGACTCGAATGCCTTTTTTTTATTTTTCTTTTCTCTCCAAAGAGAGACGAAAGAGGGACAGACGGAACCTCTCCACTACGTCTCCCAGCGGGTATAAATTTCACTCTCAATCATACCCAGCACAGCCAGATTTTTCATCTGGCGATTATCAATCATCCTTGCATTTTTTTTCTTTTCTTCATGTTTTTGATCCTGATCCTTTCTGTTAATCGATTCTTCTCTTCTTTCTTCGGGCAGGGGTATACAATCCATTGTCATGATATCATGTCATATCAGGCGCGCGCGGAGTTTGTGGTTGATTGGTTGATTGATTGATCGTTTGTTTTTTTTGTTTGTGTATGTTATGTGTATGTGGAGTATTACCTGGTTCTGCTGGTTCTGGCAGTGTTGTTTGTTGTTTGTTGTTTGTTTTTATGTTCGTTTTTGTTTGCCATGCGCTTTAATTAATCAATTATAAACGAGTTCAGTCAGTGTTCAGTCAGATTGGGTTTGCTACTGGTTGCATGTATATACGTCCCTTTGGCCCCCCCTCCCCTTTTTTTTTCAACCTCTTTGTGTCTTTGTCTCTGTCTCTGTCTTTTCTTTTTCAATGACGAACAAACAAACAACGAAACAAACCAGTATAAAACTAGTTTAATCAATTAATGAATTAATGTAATCAATCAGTCAGTCAAAGTATTCATTATGTTTTATAAACTTTTTTTTTGTTTGCTTTCTTAAGAGAAGAAAAAATCCAATTTTTTATTACTCCAATTTTTTTTTAGCTAGCTAGCAGCAATAGGTGTAGCCTAGTGTACTGTACATCATACATGATAAGTCCCGTCTCGCGTCAGTCACGTCCCGTCAGGTCAGGTCGATCGATGAGAGAGAGGGAGTTCCATCCATCATATGATGAGAGATGAGAGATGTGGGATGAATGGAATGGAATGGAATGATACATTACAGACATAGGTACTAATCCAATCTGGACATGGGCAGAAGGGTGATCGATCAAAAGAAAAAGAAAAAAGAAAGCAAGAAAGCAAGAAAGCCAGCAAGAAAGATGGGTCCAATTTAAGTAATACTCGAAACAAGAAAGCCAAAAAATAGAACAAAGCCCCCCCCCAAAAAAGCCAAAATACCAAAAGGGGAGAAAGGCAGAGAGGGGAGAAAAAGAATAAAGTGCCAAAATTTTGGTTGGTCATGTCATGATGGATGAGTATGAGCAAAAACGGGTACCAGGTATCAGGCATGTTCCAAGCAGTCTGGTGTCACATGTCTGGTCAAGAAGGTCGGCCAGATGGATTTTAAGGGTGATAGCAAGGCTCGGTTGGAGTGTACAGTATGTGTAGTTGTTGTGTCTTGGTTCAGGTCAGGTCATGTTGAATGTGAGAGAGATACAGACAAGTTTGTGTGAAGTCATAGGTAAGACCAGAGAGGAGGAAGATCCTGTCCGTCTGTTAGACAGAAATCATGCTGCAACAATGACATGGATCAGTGATGAAGATCAATTTTTTTCCAGTATGATCTTTTCTGTCCAAAAAAAAAGATCTGATCATTAGGTATCTCAGTAGGAAGGGTTGCTAGACGATGAACATCACCAATGCAATGTGTTGCACAGAAGTGATCGTCTGGCTGTGTAGGTGTTGTATCGCGTAACATGTAAATAAATATGCATACCAGTAGCAGTTCCTGGGTTGAAACTTTTGTGCCGATCTAGATAATGCGCGCATCACGTTAGTGACCTTTCAGACCTTCCAGTTTATCCGCACTCATCTAGCTTTGACATACCTCGAATATCGGTCGAAGTATATGACCTATAATCAGTCTGGATAAAGCTGTCTAATGTTTCCATCCTGCTGATGCCTTGGCTCCAACCTTCTTTACTGCTCCTCGTCTGCTGACGCGGGTATTGGCGTTGGTTCGTCGAGTCGACTTCTTGCTGGGTTTGTCGCTGCTGTCGTTGTCGTCTGCTAACTCATCGACAAATTCAGGCTTGAACGTGGGCAGGATCTCGATGTCGGGAAAGGCAACATAGTTGTTAGCCTCTTGTTCGGCTTGGATGTACTCCCGGATTCGCTTGATGATGTCGCGGATCTCGTCAAACGACTTGTTGTCCCCCACCTCATCGCGAAGCCACGATGGCACTGGCGCGGACGCATTGGGGCTGCGTTTCGTCCTCCTTGGTCCTTGCGTCGATTGCCGAGTCCGGTTGATACCAAGTGACGCCGAAGCAGCGGACGTATCATCCGTGCCCGTGCTGGGAGTCCGGATATGTTCGCGCTTCCTCAGCGTCAGCCTGAAACTGGACACTCCATCCCATGCCTGCATTCGGTTCAAAGTCTCTTGGAAGATGTCGCATTGCTTGAACGGCCAGGAGTCGGCGCGATAGCGGGCACGCTGATAGTGCTTGCGGCAGTACAACACCCAGACATCGTCCGGGAATGTTCTCGTGCAAGTCTTGTTTCGACCGAAGAAATGTGAGATGCACTTGCGCGCGTTCCAACTGCCAGACACGCATTCTGCACAAAACTCGCACCAGGGATTAACCTCCAAACTTTTGTTTCTAGCCTCGTCCATGACTACGTCCTCTGGAATACTTTCATCGACAGGAGATTGTTCTGGAGTTAGAGGGAGACGAGCCATGGCGGCAGGAACTGAAAGAGGAGTGATTAACGATGGCAGCTGCCGAATAGCAGGTTCGCTAGTGCTGTTGCTGTGCCGGTCGCCGACAGAATGGGGAGAAGACGTTCTAGGAGTCGGCGGTCGACGCACCATGAAGTGGGCAAGGACCTTGTCTGGGAGGGGGCCAGAAACAATGCAGGGAGAAGACTCTTCAGGCGAGAGAATTGGGGAGGTCTCGGGGCTCAATATATCTGCTGTCATCTCGCCAGCTGACTCAGTCCGATGTTCTGAGTAATTGACGACAAGTGAATACAGTCTGGACCGCTGAATAGGAACAAAATAAAGCGACTCGAGTGACTCGGACTAAGGCTGAATGGGAGAACAAAAGGACTAGGGGACTGGGAGAGTGAATTGTATCAACTCCAGATGGCCTGGATGGAGGATGAATACCACTAGAGATCGATCGCGTCGACTGGGAATACTTGCCGGCGCAGACCGCCTGAGAGGCCTCGCGTTATGTTATTATCAGGTACGAGCCTGCAGTCCGACTTGGGATGAACTGGGGAGCGATTCATTCACTGCGCATTCACTCCAGCAGGTGGGGTGGCCATTCACCGCAAATGCTCAAACCAAAAAGCGCATTCCCGGCTCGCTTTCGAATCTCAAGATTTGCACCTCTCCATCATCTAGAAGATGTCGTTGAATAGGTCTACCTTCACCCACATCATCTCGTGAGGAATATATCCTCGTGTGGGACAGCCATGGGAAATTTCTGGATGGCAGGTACCGCTA